CAACTTCAGCAAAGTCTCAGGATATAAAATCAATGTGCAAAAATCACAAGCATTCGTCTACACCAATAACAGACTTAAAGAAAGCCAAATCAAGAACGAACTGCCATTCACAATTCCTCAAAGAGAATAAAATACACAGAAATACAACTAACAAGGAATGTAAGGGACCTTTTCAAGGAGAACTACAAACCCCTGCTCAACGAAATGAGAGGACACAAACAGATGGAGAAACATTCCATGTTCATGGTTAGGAAGAATCAATATCGTGAAAATAGCCATACTGCCCAAAGTCATTTACAGAATCATTGCTGACACCATCAAGCTACCATTGACTTTCTTCACAGAACTGGAAAAAACCACCTTGAACTTCATATAGAACCAAAAGAGAGCCTGCATAGCCAAGTCAATTCTAAGCAAAGAAAACACAGCAGGAGGCATCACACTACTGGACTTCAAACTATACTGCAAGACTACAGTAATCAAAACAGCATGGTACTGGAACCAAACAGAAATATAGACCAATGGAACAGAACAGAGCATCAGAGGCAACACAACATATCTACAACCATCCAATCTTTGACAAACCTGACAAAAACAAGCAATGGGGAAAGGATTCCCTGTTTAATAAATGGTGTTGGGAAAACTGGCTAGCCATGTACAGAAAGCAGAAACTGGACCCCTTCCTGACACCTTACACTAAAATTAACTCCAGATGGATTATAGACTTAAACATAAGACCTGGCACCATAAACACCCTAGAAGAAAATCTAGGCAAAACCATTCACGACATAGGAGTAAGCAAGGACTTCATGACCAAAACACCAAAAGCATTGGGAGCAAAAGCCAAAATAGACAAATGGGACCCAAAAAAACTCCACAGCTTCTGCATGGCAAAAAAAACAGTCACTAGAGTGAATCGGTAATCAACAGAATTGAAAAACATTTTTGCAGTTTACCCATCTGTCAAAGGGCTGATATCCAGAATTTACAAAGAACTCAAACAGATTTACAAGAAATAAACAAACTAGCCCATTCAAAAATGGGCAAAGGATAAGAACAGACACTTTACAAAAGAAGACATACATGAGGCCACAAACATATGAAAAAATGCTCATCATCACTGGTCATTAGAGAGATGTAAATCAAAACCACCTTGAGATACCATCTCACGCCAGTTAGAATGGCAATCATTAAAAAATCTGGAGACAACAGATGCTGGAGAGGATGTGGAGAAATAGGAACACTTTTACACTGTTGGTGGGAGTGTAAATTTGTTCAACCATTGTGGAAGACAGTGTGGCGATTCCTCAAGGACCTAGAAATAGACATTCCATTTGACCCAGCAATCCCATTACTGGGTATATATCCAAAGGACTGTAAATTGTCCTACTATGAGGACACATGCACACGAATGTTCATTGCAGCACTGTTTACAATAGCAAAAACCTGGAACCAACCCAAATGCCCATCGATGATAGACTGGACTGGGAAAATGTGGCACATATACACCATGGAACATTATGCAGCCATCAAAAACGATGAGTTTGTGTCCTTTGTAGGAACATGAATGAATCTGGAGAACATCATTCTCAGCAAACTGACACAAGAACAGAAAATGAAATACCGCATATTCTCACTCATAGGTGGGTGATGAACAATGAGAACACATGGACACAGGGAGGGGAGTACTACACACTGGGGTCTATTGGGGGGAATAGGGGAGGGACAGTGGTGGGGAGGACCTGGGGAGAAATAGCATGCGGAGAAACGCCAGATGTGGGTGAAGGGGAGGAAGACAGCAAATCACACTGCCACATGTGTACCTATGCAACTATCTTGCATGTTCTGCACATGTACCCCAAAACCTAAAATGCAATAAAAAAAATAAATAATAAAATAAAAAAGAAAAGTACAAGTTACTAGTATGAGACTTATATGTAGGATCCTGCTATAAATTTCCTATAACTTATAAGAAACTAGTCAGAACTTGTGAGCAGTGAAGTTAATGGAGTTTTCCAAAGTCTGTATCCCAGGATCCCTTCTTATCAGTCCTACTTGTATGTTTCAGAGTTGCTTTGTCATAAACAGTCTCTGCTGGACAGATTTACAGTCCTCTTTTATGCTGCTTTAACTGTTCAAGTGCTTCTAAATATACGTTTGTTCTTTGTAGGTATTATTTATATAAATGTGTTTAAGCTATTTATTTGGAGGGTTAAAAATATCTGAAATGAATAGGTGAAAAAAAAATTCTTGAGACAGAGTTCCACTCTGTTACTCAGGCTGAATTGCAGTGGAAAGATCACAGCTACTGTAACCTCAAGTTCATGGCTTCAAGCAATCTTTCTGTCTCAGCTTCTCAAAGCACTGGGATTATTGGCATGAGCCACCATTCCTGGCCTGCAAATAATTTTTTTTTTTAATCAGAGTCTCACTCTGTCACCCAGACCAGAGTGCAGTGGCACGATCTCGGCTCACTGCAACCTCTGCCTTCTGGCTTCTCCTACCTTGGCCTCCTGAGTAGCTGGGATTACAAGCATGGGACACCACGCCTGGCTTACTTTTGCTTTTTTTTTTTTTTTTTTTTTTTTTTTGAGACGGAGTTTCGCTCTTGTTACCCAGGCCGGAGTGCAATGGCGCGATCTCGGCTCACCGCAACCTCCGCCTCCTGGGTTCAGGCTATTCTCCTGCCTCAGCCTCCTGAGTAGCTGGGATTACAGGCACGCGCCACCATGCCCAGCTAATTTTTTGTATTTTTAGTAGAGACGGGGTTTCACCATGTTGGTCTTGAACTCCTGACCTCAGGTGATCCACCTGCCTCAGCCTCCCAAAGGGCTGGGGTTACAGATAATTTTTTAAAGTTAATATAAGAATGCAAAAAGCTGGCAAGAGCCTCATTTTAATACTTATAATTTTTTGAAGCTGGAATGTCAAAATCAAAATGTGAATTTATCAAAGAACTGAAATATCAAGGTAATTAATTAACCCAGAATATAAAGAGAGACACTTCTCCAAGGACAGATGAAACACAAACCCTTGTTTACATGGGACAGGTGCCAGATGCTATACCAGCCATAAGAAGAGCAATCAGCTAAAATTTTAAACAAATTACTAAAGGTTAGCATGAGTCTATAGAAGCCCTGGGAGTCATAAACACAGGGAAATTCACATCAGTCTCTCATCCCTCTTCCATGAACCTCACCAGGGTCTTCTAAAAGATTAGAGTCAGAGATATAGACCAGATACATCCTACCTCATGATGTGGGCCTGAATATGAGAGCAGCTACTGCAAGGTAGTAAGTCCCAACCACACCTGTCTCCTCTACCTTCTTCCCTGTGTGATTTCTCTAGTGCTCACAAAAATGACTTGAGCTGTTTCAAGCTTTATTCCTCACACTACACCATCCAGGACAAGAGACAGGATCGCTTTTCCCTATTGTCAAACACAAGAATCACGCATTATGTAAACAATGTCATGTTAGAACTGGTCCATAGCCGTGAACCACCACTCTGAGCAAGCATAAGTGGGATGTATACAGTGGTTGGCTTAAATCCCAGATTACCTCCCATCCTTTAGCCTATCACATTGTGAAGGAGGAGTTCTCATGATTGGCTTAGGCTGATCAGCCAGATGACTACTATGCAAATGTGGCAAGGCGGGTGAAACCCAAATGGGTTGGAACCAATCATGTCTAACCCAGATAGAAAGACTGCAGCAGTCCCATTCTTTGCTCTCCTCTATCCCATATTTTTATTTTCTTTCTCCCATCACAACTTCATTTTCCAAAAATTTTCATATATGCAGCTGCTTCCAACGGCACCTGGTCTGCCTGGATGTTTCCCTTGCCTTGGGCGCCTCTTCTCAGTTTCCTAAACAAATTAGAGCCAAGTCCCTTTCCCAAAGTTCAGCTCAAATAGGTTACTATACTAGAAAACTGAGAAATAACAAAAAATGAAATGGCACAACACAGAATCATGACAAATATTTGTTGAATTAATTCATAATTGAAGTCTAGTGATGGATATCTTGACAAATACTTTTATTTGGGGTCAATAGTAAATCATCATTATTCAAAAATGTTACATTTGCTAATTTGCCCACAAAAATTTATGTGTAACCTCCCCACTCCCTGCTGTCCCTCCCCTAACCCCCTCCAACAGACCACAGTGTGTGATGCTCCCCTCCCTGTGTCCATGTGCTCTCATTGTTCAACATCTGCCTATGTGAGATGTTGAGAGAACATATGTGAGTGAGAACATACGGTGTTTGCTTTTCTGTTCTTGTGTCAGTTTGCTGAGAATGGTGGTTTCCAGATTCATCCATGTCCCTACAAAGGACACAAATTCATTGCTTCTTATGGCTGTCTAGTATTCCATAACGTATATGTGTCACATTCTTGATCTAATCCATCGTTGATAGACATTTGGGTTGGTTCCAAGTCTTTGCTGTTGTGAACAGTGCCACAATGAACATACGTGGACATGTCTCTTTATAATAGAAAGATTTATAATCCTTTGAAGATATACCCAGTAATGGGATTGCTGGGTCATTTTCTCTTCAGTGACACACTTGTACTATATCTCAGGCATCACACGCATGAGTGTCACTCAAATTTTAATAAACTTGTTGAGTATTCTGCTGGTTTTCCAAAATGCAAATTATAATTCAGTAAATCTAAAGTGAGGTCCAAATTCGACCTTTCTATCAAGCGCCAGTGTGATAACTCTGCTACTCGTCTCTGAACCACTGAATAGTAAAGACACGCATCCTGCCCTGCATACTTGGAACAGTAATTTAATCTAATAGCTCTCTATAGTTTAGTGACAGTAGGATGAGAGGCAAAATGGTGTTTCTCCTCTGCAGCTAAAACACTATAGAACTAGGAATGTGTAAAACCTCCTCCAAGTGAGAAGACTTTAGACCAGAAAAATATCAAATGACTCAACTACTTCAAAGTACCAGGAGGAAAAGGAATCAGAAAAGACTACAAATTGAGCATAAATTCAATAGTTTTATTGAGAACATGTTTCATGCAGGCAAGATCTTCACCAGGGATACGTAGATTAAAAACACATGTACTTTGCATTGAAGGAGCTGAAAAATTAGAAGGAAAAGCAGCACCTAAATAACTGCAATGAAGGAGAGGAAGCGAGGAGTACAGTCAGCAAATACGGCTGAAATGTGGCGGGAGTTCAGAGCAGGGCGAGACTGCTTCCCACCTGTGAGTCAGGGAAGGCCTCTGGAGGAAGGGAATCTAAAAGGGCCCGATGATCCCTTAGTGGTCGAGCATGTGGAGTTTTCTAGAACCCCATTTTATTCACAGATAAATATGAATTTCAAAATCCCAAAACACAGGTCAGAACAACAAATCCTCCAAAATTAAATTGAGCTTATATTGACAAATGATCGTTAAGCAGAAACAAGCAAATTAACAAGGAGAGTGGAAACAACGTCATCACCACGACATGTTCAGGTGTGTCCTGAGCCCTTGGGCTGCTGGTTTCTCATCCCAAAAGGAGAACGGTGATGAGAAGTCTCATGATGTGTCTTAATGGAAACTGGATGAGAACAGAGATAGAAGTCACTTGAATAAGGTAGAGGTGAGAATTGAGGAGTAAGAGGGAAGGGGGCTGGGGAGAGAAGAACGGAGGAGAGAGAAACAAGAAACATGGGAAGACAAGTGGGGCGGGTGTAGGAGTAGGAAACACACATGCAAATAACTCACCAGCGTTTCCTGAACCAAAGTGCAAGACACACTATCAGAAGAAGTAAAGGCACTATCACCGCCAAGATGATCAAGCCCACGGAATTGTGATGTTCTGTGAATTTGGGGAGATGCCAAGGATGTTATGTTAAATCCACCCCATTTTCCCTCATCCACTTCCTGTTTCACTGCATTACCCTGGGCTTCCTTATTTCAGTTGAGTGTCCACCTTACCAATCTCCTTACATTCTATCTTTTCTCTCATCCCTGCTCAGAGATGGAGTTTTCATCTTACTCTCAGCATCCTCCTGTGTCTACAGGGCCCTCATTTTCAACATTTCTATTGCTTAGATTACCTGTTTTTATTCATGTCGGGGTTATTATCCCAAGTATCCTAAACTTTTCAGCTTGCCCTCCCTCTATGCTGAGGACCACCCCCTGGCATTTCCAGCCTGGGCCCCAGCTCCTTCTCACCCCAGTAGAGGACGATGTCCTGGCCCTCTAAACTGCTGTGCTTCACCCGACAGGACAGGTCAGCTGCCTCCCCAGCGGCCACCTCCAGGGTTGCTTGGAGATACCATGTCCCATCAGCATTGGGCAGGATGTCCCCTCGCTGAGTGCCCGGCTGCTCCTGCTCACCCCGCATCCACCTCACCCACACAGGCTTTGGGTAGAATCCTGAGACATGGCACAGCAGCAGCAGATGGCCAGGGCCTGGACTGGGGCCCAGGGACAGCCAGGCCTCAGGCTTCACTGCAAAGGACAGAAGAGATATTCAGTTACAGACTTGGAGTTTCATATCACACATCAGTTTAGAAGTTTAGATATACACATCTTTCCCATTTCTCTTTTTATTGAGACAGGGTCTCTGTCACTCTGCTGGAGTGCAGTAGCATAATTTTAAATTATAGCTCATTGTAATCTCAACATTTGTGCTCAAGCCATCCTCCTGCCTCAGCCTCTTGAGTAACTGGGACTACAGGTGTGCACCACCATGACCAGCTAATTTATTTTTATTTTTCAGAGATGGTGGTCTCACTATGTTGCTCAGGCTGGGCTGGGAGTCCTGCCCTTAAGTGGTCCTCCAGCCTCAAGTTCTCGAAGCTCTGGGTTTACAGATGTGAGCCACTGCACCCAGCCTCTCCCACTTCTGGGCAGCTCCTCCTTATTCTGAATTTGAAGGGGGTGGTTTTCAAATCAAAAGTCTTTGGAGGAAGGGTATAGGACTGACCTTGCCGCTGGAGATGTGCCTTTCTTGCATCTAGAAGACCCAAGAGGAATCGTGGGCAGGTGTCACTGATGAGATGGCTTATTCTGTCCTTATCAAACTGATGCTGATAGAACACTTTGCAGACATGCTTGGTTGCATTTTCAGCCAGTGGAGATGGCAGGCATGGCTCGTACTGGAAGCTCATGAAATCTGATCCTTGGTAAGCTACCCGAAAGAAGTTTCCTGAGAGCTTTCCAGAGTGCACCTCTGGAAACTGTATCTCAAAAGGATCTGGGGTTATGAATTAGACGAAAGAGAGACAAAAAACATAAAATAAAATGCGTAGAAGCAAAGATTGTAGAAGCAGAAGGGGGAATTCTTCAGCATTTTATGTGATGGAAAAAAATTTGATTTGGTCAGGGATTCAGAGAAAGGGGAATTTGTGGGAGCTATAGGTGGAGGAAAAGATTAGTAACATGAAGAAGTGAAAAAATTAAAGACAATGATGTGAATGCTGCATTTGAGGAAGTGCTTGGTGTAAGAGAACTGGGATTATAACAACTTAGGTTGAATAGCGCTCAACAGGTTCCAATGAGTCTATGCAGAGACTGCTAAAGAGAATGAAAGACAAAGTGAGAAAGCTGGAGGCATTTAGCTGTATTTAGGCAGAAAAAAGCGTAACCATGGGATACCTGTGGAAAAGGTAATAAAGCACAACCCTGCAATCAATGAAACAGGAGTTCATAAGTGGAAGAAGTGTTTGAAGAATTAGGGTCTGGATGATAGACCTTGCCCAAATGTTTGCAATTGCAGTTTTATGGTGGGAGGAATAGAATAAGCTACAGAAAAGAGTCAGGCCGTTTCCTACAGGAATAAGGAACATTGAGACATCCCCTCTCTCCCAACTCTTCAGTCCCCATGGGGGAAACGTTACTCTCATTCAAATATTAATTCACTGGTGTGTCCATGAAATTCCTCAGAAAACTGAATGAAGTGTATGCAGAATAAAGTTTCCAGGTCCATCCACTCCTCATTGCTGAAGGTTCCCCTGGACCAGGACCACAGGAAAATGATGGTGCCAAAATTCTTGCCCCAGGTGTGAGTCTGCAAATCACCCAGCCAACCTGAGCCCAGATGTCGTTCCCAGGAATGGTTGTAAAAGGATGAGATTTGGATGACATGGAAGGAGACAGGCTCCTTGAACCCTGTGGTGAAAGTAGAGTAGAATGTACGAAAGACATTGAGAAACAGAATGGAGGGAGAAGGTGCCCGAGTGGGGGATTCAGAATCTGGAGAAGAGGGGATCCATCATAATCTTAGCAGATGCTTGCTTCCCACAGTGTCCCAGCCATTATCAAGCACCTTCCTTCATAAGAGCGCGGGGACCTGGAGACATGAACTGTCAGAGTGGAACCAGACTGGCACTCTCACTTTCCAAGTATGTGCTAGGAAGGGCGAGCACACAACCACACACACACACACACACACACACACACACACACACACACACTGACATCATCCACCCAACTGGGCAGTTGTCAGAGTTCTCGGAGTTCTTACCGTCTGTATTTTCACCACCTGGGAGAACAGCTAGCAATGGAAGCAGCAGAAACAGCATGTCATTTGCAGATGTTACTTCCTTCTCACAAAAATTGGTCTTTGATTTCCGTTACAAACAAACCAACCCCACAATATCTCTAGTCTGACTTGTTTCTGCAACCAGCAGACAAACCTCTTCTTAGTGCAGCAAAGAAAATCTGCTCCTTCACAAACCCGGAGACACCTACTCAGTCTCTCTTTTCCCTCTGGTTCTGACTTTCTTCTCTAGTTTCCAGCTTTTCTCATTGTCACCAACTTCCAATCGGTTCACCTTCCTTTAATTCAACTTCTCTGGAACAAGTCTTATGTGGCATTGAGAAGCCACTTAACCACTAAGAACAGTTTTTTTCCCATTCATACAATAAGAGCATAAAACTAAATGGCTCCCAGTATGCTGCCCAATGTTCCCATGTCCCTGCGCTTTTTGATCACTCTGTCCTTTCCAATACTTTCCCATGTATTCTCTTCCCTTGTCTCATTCCCCCACCCCACTTCCTTCACATTTCTGACTTAACATCGGTTCTTTTGCTTTTTCAGAATCCCCTGTGACTGTCCTGTGTGACAGTATAAACTAACACCTTTTCTCCATTATTCTTAGAAAAGAGCCAGTAACCATCACAAAAAAAAAACACAGGAGCACTAAAACATATAAGGAAAATGTCCTCTGTTTGATTTTCACTGACCCAACAGTCTCTCTCAGCGCCTGCCTGGAGCCAAGGATCTTGTTACACAGAAGAATGTGAGAGCTTCATGGCTGACAAAACAATCGCTATTTTTAAGGAGCTTTTACTCTACTTAGGAAGAACCACACACCAAGAATGATAAACCTTGGTGTACAGAGTTTTATTATATTTTATACACTCTCTGGATAAAAACAAGCCCACTTGAAATAATATTTTCTAAACTGGGGACTCTTACTTTTATTTATTTATTTTTTTATTTCATTTTAGGTTTTGGGGTACATGTGAAGAACACGCAAGATAGTTGCATAGGTACACACGTGGCAGTGTGATTTGCTGCCTTCCTCCCCTTCACCTATATCTGGCATTTCTTCCCATGCTCTCTCTCCCCAACTCCCCCCTCAACGCTCTCCCTCCCCTATTGCCCTTAACAGACCCCAGTGTGTAGTGCTCCCCTCCCTGTGTCCATGTGGCCTCATTGAAATGAAGGAGAAAATGCTAAACTGGGGACTCTTAACTAATGGTAGCCAGCCCAGAGTTCTAACTTCAGTGGTTGACTTGGAGTGTTGGCTCCAATCCATTATCATACTGTCTCCCCACCTAACTAAGCACCTACCACTTGCCGGGTACTCAGTGAATGTTTGTCAAATGAATGAAGGAATTCAGTTTATGCATTCATTTTTTAATTATGGAGGAGATATTCAACATAAAACTTTTTAACGATATCATAAAGATTACTTGTAATCCTATGTAGTGAGATGAGACTCATATAGTTTTATTAAGGAGAAAAGTACAAGTTACTAGCGTGAGACTTAAGTGTAGGATCCTGCTATAAATTTCCTCTTATAAGAAACTAGTCAGAACTTGTGAGCAGCGAAGTTGATGGAGTTTTCCAAAGTCTGTATCCCAGGATCCCTTCTTATCAGTCCTACTTGTATGTTTCAGAGTTGCTTTGTCATAAACAGTCTCTGCTGGACAGATTTACAGTCCTCTTTTATGCTGCTTTAACTATTCAAGTGCTTCTAAATATATGTTTGTTCTTCGTAGGTATCATCCATATAAATGTATTTAAGCCATTTATTTGGGGCATTAAAAAAATCTGAAATGAACAGGTGAAAAAAAAATTTCTTTTGCAGTGGAATGATCATAGCTACTGTAACCTCGAATTCATGGCTTCACGCAATCTTTCTGTCTCAGGCTCTCAAAGCACTGGGATTATTGGCATGAGCCACCATTCCTGGCCTGCAAATAATATTTTTTTGAATCAGAGTCTCACTCCGTCACCCAGAACGGAGTGCAGTGGCACGATCTCGGCTCACTGCAACCTCTGCCTTCTGGATGCGAGCAATTCTCCTACCTTGGCCTCCTGAGTAGCTGGGATTACAAGCATGGGATACCACGCCTGGCTTACTTTTGTATTTTTGATAGAGACAGGGCTTCACCATGTTGGTCTCGAACTCCTGACCTCAGGTGATCCACTTGCCTCAGCCTCCCAAAAGGGCTGGGATTACAGATAATTTTTTAAAGTTAATATAAGCATACAAAAAGCTGGAAAGAGCTTCATTTTAATACTTATAATTTTTTGAAGCTGGAATGTCAAAATCACAATGTGAATTTCAATGTGAATTTATCAAAGAACTGAAATATCAGGGAAATCAATTAACCCAGAATATAAAGAGAGACACTCCTCCAAGGACAGATGGAACACAAACCCTTGTTTACGTGGGACAAGTGCCAGATGCTATACCAGCCATAAGAAGAGCAATCAGCTAAAATTTTAAACAACTTACTAAAGGCTAGCATGAGTCTATAGAAGCCCTGGGAGTCATAAACACAGGGAAATTCACATCAGTCTCTCATCCCTCTTCCATGAACCTCACCAGGGTCTTCTGAAAGATTAGAGTCACAGATATAGACCAGATACATCCTGTCTCATGATGTGGGCCTGAATATGAGAGCAGCTACTGCAAGGTAGTAAGTCCCAACCACACCTGTCTCCTCTACCTTCTTCCCTGTGTGATTTCTCTAGTGCTCACAAAAATGACTTGAGCTGTTTCAAGCTTTATACCTCACACTACACCATGCAGGACAAGAGACAGGATCGCTTTTCCCTATTGTCAAGCACAAGAATCACGCATTATGTAAACAATGTCATGTTAGAACTGGTCCATAGCCGTGAACCACCACTCTGAGCAAGCGTAAGTGGGATCTATACAGTGGTTGGCTTAAATCCCAGATTACCTCCCATCCTTGACAGACATTTGGGTTGGTTTCAAGTCTTTGCTATTGTGAACAGTGCCGCAATGAACATACGTAGGTATGTCTCTTTATACTAGAACGATTTATAATCCTTTGAAGATATACCCAGTAATGGGATTGCTGGGTCATTTTCTCTTCAGTGACACACTTGTACTATATCTCAGGCATCACGTGCATGAGTGTCACTCAAATTCTAATAAACTTGTTGAGTATTCTGCTGGTTTTCCAAAATGCAAATTATAATTCAGTAAATCTAAAGTGAGGTCCAAATTCGACCTTTCTATCAAGCACCAGTGTGATAACTCTGCTACTCGTCTCTGAACCACTGAATAGTAAAGACACACATCCTGCCCTGCATCCTTGGAACAGTAAATTAATCTAATAGCTCTCTATAGTTCAGTGACAGTAGGATGAGAGGCAAAATGGTGTTTCTCCTCTGGAGCTAAAACACTATAGAACTAGGAATGTGTAAAACCTCCTCCAAGTGAGCAGACTTTAAAACAGAAAAATATCAAACGACTACACAACTTCCAAGTACCAGGAGGGAGAGAAATCAGAAAAGACTACAAATTGAGCATAAATTCAATAGTTTTATTGAGAACATGTTTCATGCAGGCAAGATCCTTCACCAGGGATACGTAGATTTAAAGCACATGTACTTTGCATTGAAGGAGCTGAAAAATTAGAAGAAAAAGCAGGACCTAAATAACTGCAATGAAGGAGAGGAAGTGAGGAGTACAGTCAGCAAATACGGCTGAAATGTGGCGGGAGTTCAGAGCAGGGCGAGACTGCTTCCCACGTGTGAGTCAGGGAAGGCCCTCTGGAGGAAGGGAATCTAAAAGGGCCTGATGATCCCTTAGTGGTCGAGCATGTGGAGTTTTCTAGGACCCCATTCCATTCACAGATAAAATTTGAATTTTAAAGTCCCAAAACCCAGGTCAGAACAACAAATCCTGCAAAATTAAATTGAGCTTATATTGACAAATGATCGCTAAGCAGAAACAAGCAAATTAACAAGGAGAGTGGAAACGACGTCATCACCACGACATGTTCAGCTGTGTCCTGAGCCCTTGGGCTGCTGGTTTCTCATCCCAAGAGAACAGTGACAAGAAGGCTCATGACATGTCTTAATGGAAACTGGATGAGAACAGAGATAGAAGTCACTCTGAATAAGGTAGAGGTGAGAATTGAGGAATAAGAGGGAAGGGGGCTGGGGAGAGAAGAATGGAGGAGAGAGAAACAAGAAACATGGGAAGACAAGTGCGGTGGGAGTAGGAGTAGGAAACACACATGCAAAAAACTCACCAGCATTTCCTGAACCAAAGGGCAAGACACACTATCAGAAGAAGTAAAGGCACTATCACCGCCAAGATGATCAAGCCCACGGAATTGTGATGTTCTGTGAATTTGGGGAGATGCCAAGGATGTTATTTTAAATCCACCCCATTTTCCCTCATCCACTTCCTGTTTCACTGCATTACCCTGGGCTTCCTTTTTTCAGTTGAGTGTCCACCTTACCAATCTCCTTACATTCTATCTTTTCTCTCATCCCTGCTCAGAGATGGAGTTTTCATCTAACCCTCAGCATCCTCCTGTGTCTACAGGGCCCTCATTTTCAACACTTGTATTGCTTAGGTTACCTGTTTTTATTCATGTTGGAGTTATTATCCTACGTATCCTAAAATTTTCAGCTTGCCCTCCCTCTATGCTGAGGACCACCTCCTGGCATTTCCAGCCTGGGCCCCAGCTCCTTCTCACCCCAGTACAGGACGATGTCCTGGCCCTCTAGACTGCTGTGCTTCACCCGACAGGACAGGTCAGCTGCCTCCCCAGCGGCCACCTCCAGGGTTGCTTGGAGATACCATGTCCCATCAGCATTGGGCAGGATGTCCCCTTGCTTAGTGCCCGGCTGCTCCTGCTCACCCCGCATCCACCTCACCCACACAGGCTTTGGGTAGAATCCTGAGACATGGCACACCAGCAGCAGACGGCCAGGGCCTGGACTGGGACCCAGGGACAGCCAGGCCTCAGGCTTCACTGCAAAGGACAAAGAGATATTCAGTTACAGACTTGGAGTTTCATATCACACATCAGTTTAGAAGTTTACATATACACATCTTTCCCATTTCTCTTTTTATTGAGACAGAGTCTCAGTCATTCTGCTGGAGTGTAGTAGCATAATTTTAAATTATAGCTCAATATAATCTCAAACACTTGTGCTCAAGCCATCCTCCTGCCAAAGCCTCTTGAGTAACTGGGACTACAGGTGTGCGCCACCATGACCAGCTAATTTATTTTTATTTCTCAGAGACGGTGGTCTCACTATGTTGCTCACGCTGGGCTGGGACTCCTGTCCTTAAGTGGTCCTCCAGCCTCAACTTCCCAAAGGACTGGGATTACAGATGTGAGCCACTGCACCCAGCCTCTCCCACTTCTAGGCAGCTCCTCCTTATTCTGCATTTGAAGGGGGTGGTGGCAGGAAATGCTTTTCAAATCAAAAGTTTTGGGAGGAAGGGTATAGGACTAACCTTGCCCCTGGAGATGTGCCCTTTTTGCATCAAGAAGACCCAAGAGAAATCGTGGGAAGGTGTCACTGATGAGATGGCTTATTCTGTCCTTGTCACACTGATGCTGATAAAACCCTTTGCAGACACGCTTGGCTGCATTTCCAGCAAGTGGAGATGGCAGGC